GGGAAGAGACGGGGAAGGGCAGCCGGTCTCCGCGTTCTCCGCATGGAGACCGTTTCCCTACGTAAAAGCTTCCATTGATGTAACTGCACTGGAGAACTTGGAGTTATATATAGGATAGGAATATAGCAACAGAACCAGACACGCGCACCCAGGTCGCGCAGACCCTCTGTCCAGACCATGTTGTCATGTTCTGTGCTTTTTCTCAGTCTCGGAAAAATGACACTCCCATTCATTCATTCATTCATTTATTCATTGTATAATGAATCTGGTTATTCTGCTTCCTGTGAGACAGGAGTGCTTGATTCCTTAGGAAACAACTAGAATCAACACTTACTAACATAAAAAAAGGAACAGTCCTTTAATAAATATTTTGAAGCCTCTCTGGGCAGGTCCAGTAGGGCATTCTAGATATGGCGGTGAGTACGATAGAGATCGGCTCGTTGTGAGAAGGAAAAATAAACTTTCAAAAAGCTTTTCACCGAAAATGGAGGCCCAGCGGCGTTTCCTCTAATAACCGAGTGTCTGCCGCTGCGGGTGTTGGCGATAACCTGGCGAGCAGGTGCCCCCGCGGGGTCCGGGGTGGAGACCAGGGAAGGGCTGCGGGGAGGATGACGCGGGCGGGCTGGTGGCGGTGTTCCCCGGGAGGCGGAGGGAGGCGCCGCAGCCAGACTCGCGGGACGGTAGTTTTCCATGTAGATCTGCTGAGACTGTGTAAGCCCAGTCTTAGAGATGCAGACAAAGGAGTGTGTTACCACTTTCCAGGAATTTGCCTGTCTAGCCAGTGAGATCTCAGTAGTGGTGCTTTTTGTGTGTGTTTTTAAATCCTCACCTGAGGGTATGTTTTTCCTTGAGTCCAGAGAGACAGAGGGAGGAAGGGAGAGGGAGAGAGAAACACCGACTCGTTGCTTCCCATATGGGGCTTGAACCCGCAACCCAGATTTGTGCCGTGACTGGGAATCGAACCCACAACCCTTGGGCGCACAGGCCGACGCTCCAACCGACTAAGCCACACCTGCGCGGGCCTGCGCGGGCAGCAGCAGTAGTTCAGATGTCCAGCGTTGTTCTAGGAACTGGGGTGAGCTTTTTACACTCATCGTCTCAATTAATTCTGTCGTAGTTGAAGTCTTATTCGAGCTCTCCAAATGGCAGGACTGAGATACAGGGAGGTTAGAGGACTTGTCCAAAGTCACACAAAGGAAATGCATTTCATGTAGGTCAGTGCTGGAGAACAGATTCCAGCCCTAGCAATGCCGCCTGGGATTCCACGCCCTTAGCTGCTCCTTGATACACTCTCTGGAGTTAGGAGCAGCTGCTAAAAACAGGTGAGTGCCCAAGGTAACAGAAGAACAATGGTTTTAAATTTTACTAAAGTGTACACATGTTGGAAGGTATGCTTTTATTTTTTCATGTTACAGAGGTTGAAATTTAGGTCAAGGGGTACAAGTTTCAAGGAAGTTAGGTTTTATTCCAACTAAAGACATCATTTTATTTATTCAATACACAATCTAATGTACACCGTGCCATGTATTCTGGGCACTGTGATTACCCTTGGAGATACCATAGCAAACAAACCAAACCCAAAAGATAAGTACTCTGAGAGAAATAAACTGAGGTGGGATAGAGATGGAACAATATTGGCAAACCTACTTGATTTTTTATATTTATATTTTTTCATTCATTCGTTTTTTAAAAATCTTTATTGTTGAGAGTATCACAGATGTCCTCCCTTTTTCTCCCCCCTGCCACCCACCATCCGGTTCCGCCATGCCCCAGGCCTTCTCCACCCTATTGTCTGTGTTCATGAGCAATACATATATGCATATACTTTTCTTTGGTTAATCCTGACCCCGCTTTCATCTGCGATTCGTCAGTATGTTTCATGTTTTCATGCCTCTGGCTCTATTTTATTCATAAACTTGTGTTTATTAGATTCCACATATAAGTGAGATAATGTGATACTTGTCTTTCTCTGACTGGCTTTTCCCACCTATATAATCATCTCCAGGTCCCTCTATGCTGTCTCAAAGGATAAGAGATCCTTCTTTTTTACAGCTGCATAGAATTCCACTGTGTAGATGTATCACAGCGTTTTAACCACTCATTTACTGATGGGCACTTGGGCTGTTTCCAGATCTTAGCGATTGTAAGCTGTGCTGCTATGAACATAGGGGTTCATATATTCTTTGTGATTGATGTTTCAGGTTCCCTAGGATATATTGCTTGAAGTGGTGTCACTGGGTCAAATGGCAGTTCCATTTTTAATTTTTTGAGGAAACTCCACACTGTTTCCCACAGTAGCGACTCCAGTCTGCATTCCCACCAGCAGGGCACGAGGGTTCCTTTTTCTCCACATCCTCGCCAGCACTTGTTGTTTGTTGATTTATTGATGGTAGCCATTCTGGCAGGTGTGAGGTGGTATCCCATTGTTTTAATTTGCATCTCTCTGATGATTAGTGATGAACATTTTTTTCATATATCTCTTGGTCATTTGTATGTCCTCTTTAGAGAAATATCTATTCAAATCCTTTGCCCTTTTTTTCAATTGGATTGTTTGTCTTCCTTTTGTTGAGTTGTATGAGTACTTTATATATTTTTTGAAATTAAGACCTTATCAGATCTGTCATTGGCAAATATGTCCTCCCATACAGGGTTCCCTTTTCATTTTGAGGATGGTTTCTTTTGCTGTGCAGCAGCTTTTAGTTTGATGTAGTCCCACTTGTTTATTTTTTCCTGCCTGCCTCTTCTGTCTCTCCTCTTGAGTACCTCACTATTTCACTGACCTTGTAGTTCATCTACTCACCTGGCTTGTTGTACCATGAAACCAAAAACACCCCTACCATCCTAAGCTGCAGGTGCACATCCTCTGGCAGTGTTGGTGCTGTGCAGTGAAAAGTACAGACCGTCCTTTGCATGGTAGTGTAATGCTGTAAAAATGAAAGTGCAAGTGGAATCATGTGGAGTGGTCTCAGTGATGAGAGAAATGTTAATTTAATGACTTAACACTTCTTGTCAGTGTTAAAAATTAAAAGCTCTCGTCGACTGTACTTGAGAAATGAAAAAATAGATGCTATAATTTAAAACATGTAATACTCTCAACAATAAATATTTTTTAAAAGATTTTGTTTCTTTGTAAAAAATGTATTAAAATAGTTTGGGCAGTACTTATTGTCTAGTGATATAACTTATAATTCAGAACAAATATCTTTTTTATGCTTTGGCAGGGGTGTGTGTGTGTGGTGGCAGGGAAACAGGTGGTCTGCTGGCTTCAGGAGACAGCGGCCATAGGAAGGGCATTCCAGGTTGAGAGAAATCCAAGCAGGAACACAGAAATGAGAAGTTTCAAGACGTGTCAGGACAGGCTCAGGTTCATTGGAGTGAAATGAAGTCCAACAGGTAGCTTAAAACCGGCCCATAGATCGAGGTTCTTAGTTCCCCTTCCTGAGTGCCTGTTCCATACCAAATGTAACCCGTGAGTTAGGATTTATTTTATGAGGGATTTTGAATAGTTTCACTTTTATATGTTTGCAATACTCAACCAAATTTGAACAATACAAAAATTAACAAGATAGTAAAAAGTCTCTTCATCCTGAGTCTCTTTCCACAGAGGTAGTAACTTTTAGCAATTTAGTGTGTCTGCTTTTGGACTTGTAACTACGCATATACAAAGAGTCACACATTTCTTTGAAAGGCAGGATGATATAGCATATATTGCTGCACAGCTAAGTTGATTAACTTAATAATCTAACATGTTTCTGTGCCAGTGAGTCCAATTGACCTCATTCTCTTAAAGGCTGTGTGGCAACACAGTACTCAGATATACGAACTGATCTAACAAGATTCCTGGATTTAGGTTATTTCTTGCTTTTTAGTTACGATGCTATAGTAAATATTCTTGTATATTTATGCATATCTGTGAGTGAAATATATATAAATAAAATAGCTGGATCAAGGGTTTTATAATTTAAAATTGACATTTTACCAAATTGTCCTTCAGTAGGCTATCATAATTTGTTTCCCTTTATAGTGCCCATAACTATTTATATTTTTAATCTTTTCTAGTTTAATTGGGGAAATGTCTTAATTTGTTCTTATTGGGTCATTAATGATGGGGAAGCATCTTTTCATAACTTTGTTGGCCATTTATATTTTTCTTTTGGGAATTGCTTGATCTGGAGTTTTGCAATTTTTAAAAAATCTGCTGTACTTTTTTAAGGTTGACTTGTTGTACTCTCTAAAATATGGGTAGGAGCCCTTATAATCATTAATTCATACATTCTTCAAATAATTGAGTGCCTGCTGTGTGCTGGTGCTGGGAACATATTGATGAACATGACAGGTATGGATCTTACGATGTAGTGGGACATACAGACAATAGTAGGATGCTCAGTTATAGAATTAAGATTGTGATCAGCCCTAACCAGTTTGGCTCAATTGATAGAGTGTCAGCCTGCGGACTCAAGGGTCCCAGGTTCGATTCCTGTCAAGGGCATGTAACTTGATTGCAGGCACATCCCCAGTAGGGGGTGTGCAGGAGGCAGCTGATCGGTGTTTCTTTCTCATCGATGTTTCTAACTCTCTATCCCTCTCCCTTCCTGTCTGTAGAAAATCAATAAAATATATTTTTTAAAATTGTGATCAGTATTTGGAAACAAGGGGGTCTAATCCTAGACCTGGGGATTAGAGAACAGCTGTGTAAAGTCCAAGAAATGAGGAACATCAGATGACTTGGAGGAAAAGAGCTCCAGCTGGAGTTAGGGAGGAGAGGTAAAACTTCCGGAGCCTTACTGGATTTTGTCCTTTGTTCTGAGGCTGGGGAGAGTTTGGAGGACTTACAGGCTGGACAGTGGCCAGATGAATTGAAGTTTGCATTGTACAAAGGTGACTGCCATCAGGGTGGAAGTGGCAAGGAGCGCTGCAGGGCGATGCATGGGGAATGGGGAGGAGACAGATATCCAGGAAGCAGGAGCAGTGAACTACAAGCTTCAAGACCTTGTGGAAGAAAACCCCAGAATGTCAAGGACAGATGTTTCCCAGAGAAGCCACGTTAATATTGGGGCGGTGGGGGGGGGGCATTGGTTCTTCTTAGCTGAAGTTTAGGCCAGCGGCCTATGATGGTTTGCTTAGTTAAATTAGACAAGTGGTTTGGTTTTAGCACTGATTTTTCTGTTGTTGTGCAGCCTCCTTTTGAGAAATAAAGGTTTTATAGCAAGTAATTTTGACTTTTATCGACTCCCAGAGTAATTTCAAAGCACTAATTAGACACTTCTCTGCAGCCTGCCAGCACTTTTTGTGTTTTTTTAACTTGAGGTAGAATTGTGTATTTTATCTATATGATATCAAGGTCGCAATAAATTGTTATGCTGTACTAAGGCTTGCTGGTTGCCTGAATTTTGTTCTATATCTTTGGATTTTTGTTTAGTTCTTAAATTACCATTTTCAGTGTAAGCTACCATAAATCTTGAAACTAATCATTTGCCTGAGAACCTTTATGATAAATGATCAAAAATAGAACAAAATTCTCAGGCTAAAAAAATAAAATAATTTGGTAGAGTTTCTTGTAATTTAACTGACGTTGGCATGTATATTTTGTATATAATTATGAACAAAACAACACTGATGTAAAATTATAAGCACTACTAAAGTTTTTGTTTAAATCTTAAATATGTCGCAGTGTGGATAAATATAAAGGTATTCTTCCTGCTTTCTGTTACCTGTTTGTTTGCATTGCTGTTTTTCAGTCTTATGAATTTAAATGCCATTTGAGCCTCAGAAGTTTAAAATCTGCAGAAGCAGTTAGTAACTTTTGATTTATGTTTCACTAGTAAGTAGATTGAATCTGGTCATTTTATTCTCAGCAGATAAGAATTCTGATGAAGGAGGACCAGAGATTCAATGCATGCAAAGTAGCCTAAGAGAGCAAAAGTGTAATTAACTTATTGATTACAATTGAGGCGTAGATAGCAAGCACTTTCTGAACCTTCTCCTAAGATTAAAGAAAAAATTGTAATGAAGTGCAGAATGTTCTTAAGGAATCCAGTCATATCATACATTCTCAGCAGAATTAGCTCTTGAGCTTTGAGAAAATAAAGAGGCAGGCAAGATATTTTATTTACATACTGAATTTTGTAAAATGTTTCAAAAATAAATGAGAAGAAGGTTGACTTTTTTAAACTTTTCTATGGTACTTAAGAACCTTTTCCCATGACTTAGAAAAGGCTACCTTTTATCCAGAGAGAAATCCCATGTCATTTGTCATTGTTTTACTGCCACATGTGATTCTCTCCCAGCTCATCTCTGCTCTTTGGGGGGCATCTTTTTAGGTCCTTCACAGAGGAGACTTTCGTGGTCTTTGAGGTTCTGTTGTGTCTTTCAGGCCCATCATACAGGGTAGTATTAATGTTTCGGGTAATGTGCTTTTCTAGTAGAAACTAATTTTTAATATTTACCTATGCTAGTTAATGATTGGATTTCCCATCAGAGCAATTTCTTTTCTCCAGTGATGTCTTGCAGTGGTTTTGTTGTGAGTGGTAAGTAGAGCAGAGTGTTAGCTGGGTGCAAGCTCCTGAGCGTTCTGTAGCCCAAAAGATGGAAACAGCTGATCGTTTTGAACTTTGCCTGTATGTTTGAATAATACAAATTCTTCTGAGTCTACGTTTTGGAATATATAGGTTTTTAGTGGATATTTTAACCCTTTGAATAGGTAATATAGTCACGTGGCTCACACTTCACGAGATAGCACAAGTTGACAGTTCAGTGTAAGAATTCCGATGTAGGAGCCACAGTGAGTTTGCTCTCCACCCTCTTCCATCTGCATAAACTGGTTTCCATACGCATCTTCATATCATGCGTTTAGACCGTGTGTGTTGACCTTTCTTTGACACTGTTTGAGTTTATATTTTTTGAGTATCTTTTTGATTTGACTGAAGTGTAACCAGTTTTAAAATACTCTCCATATGCTCCAAGTCCTCATGAGGGTTAAACTTTTTGAAGTGCAGCTTTCCATCCTTAACCGTTTGACTGCTAAGGAGCGCTATTGCGCTCTTCTTATTTAAAACAAATTTATGTAAACAATTGGTATTTTTTAATTTTTGTTGTTGCAAAGCAATACAAGTGAGTTTATTGTATAAAAAGTGTTTTACATTTTTTCCCATACATGCGCAATTAGTGCCGCAGTTTTGGCATATGTCCGAAAAAATACGTCAGCAGCCAAACGGTTAAGCAACATGGTTTGCTTAGGGCCAGGTTTTAATGTCTTCTAGGAATTAGTTCTATTTCCCCCCATTTATTCACTTAATTAAAACATTTATCAAGGAATTTTCAAATATACACAAAATAGCAATCCTTAGATATGTGTTTCTTAAAATAGGGATCTAGATTCACAAGACTCATTACCTGTTTAAAAATAGAAGTCTCAAAAAAAAAAAAGTCTTACTGCAGATTCACCACTCATTGTTAAGAAGACAAAAATACAACATTTGATCTGATATGGAAATATCTCCAAGATAAGTTAAGTGAAAAAAAGAATGTTCAGCAGAGTGTTTATTGTATACACCTTTTATTTTTTTAAAAAAAGGAAAATAAAATACATATTCATATTTACTTGTATATGTCTAAAGTAACTTTGGAAGGATGCAATAAGAAAACAACCAAAGTAGGAACAGGAAAAGAGACTTTGAACCATGTGAAAGTATTAAAAATATAGCACAATAATGGTTGTTTCCCCAGGAAAATCTCTAGATTTAGGTAGCAGGTCTTTGGACAATACCACATTTATTTAGAAATAAATTGTAAAATTCACTTTAAAGAGAAACATTTATTTAAAAATTTACAATTTGAAAGTATAGTATAATAATGGTTGTTTCCCCCTGGAAAATCTCTAGATTTAGGGAGTAGGTCTTTTGACTGTGCCAAATAGTCCATGAACTGACAATTATGAGAAATATGCTTTAAAGACTACCTTCTTATCCCTACCCCAAATGGCAGAGAGTTTATTTTATTGTAACCTATTTTCCCTTTTCTTCCCCCACCCTCTTTTTTTAAAGGCTGGTGGGGTAGCAGGTGTCTCTGTTGATTTGATATTATTTCCTCTGGATACCATTAAAACGAGGCTGCAGAGTCCCCAAGGATTTAATAAGGCTGGTGGTTTTCATGGAATATATGCTGGCGTTCCTTCTGCTGCTATTGGATCCTTTCCTAATGGTAAAAATTGTATTGGTATTCTCCTGCTATAAAGCCAAGATAATAGGATTATTTTCAGAATGGTGGGTGGTGGCACTACATATAGAATTTCTTACGTGTTGGGACTTATCTTCTGAATTTGTTTTCCATTCATTAACCAATTATTTTAATCAGCTGTAGATCCCATTCCACTGTATTTATATTAGAAAAAATATGAGCAATCTTTTAAAAATGGTTTTTGTTGTTAACATTTCCAGTTAGCATCCTTAAAGTGTTCTAACATTAATTGTGATGCCTTAGAGCAGTTTCTCAACCTTGCTTGCACATTGAAATCTCTTGAGAAGTTTTAAGAATTGCTGATGCCTGTGTCACACCCAGGAGTTTAATTGGTCTGGGCTTCGCAAGGTTTTAGTAGCCTCCCAGGTGATTCCAGTGCGAAGGTGAGTTTAATAGCTGCTGCCTCGGAGAGTCTGCTGAAGCCGATGAATCTAAGAGGCATTACACTTTTTTGTCTTCACAGAATTGCTCTTAGCTGATGCAACCAATTCTGCTAACCTCCTCGATACTCTGCTCCCAGTGTCTTGCTAAAGTCACATTATATGATGTATGGCCTCTTATTCTAGAATCAATATCATCTGTTTTACTCAATCCACTTGTTGGTATACTGTACTTTTTTCAGATATTTACCTCATTTTAATTGTTTATTGATGTTTTGTGTGGCATTGGAAAGCAACCAAGCAAACAAAAAAATCACCACCACCACACACACACAATTATAGAACCTCTGCTGTAGGAGATTCTTAAATCCTGGGGTTTGATTTCTTTTTTCTCAAGATAATTTATGAGAAATTCTTCCATGTTCACTTGACATTTAGCTGTCCATCTGTGTCCCCACGTGAGCACAGCATTCATGTAGAGGTTTGTGGTGCACGGACAGCACAATGTTTTGGTCCCTTTGTTTCTTTCTTTTCTCTTCCCCTTGCTCCATCAGTCCTGAGACAACAAACTGTTTTGAGATTACCCTTGAGTTTTTATTTGTCGCAATGCCTTCAGTAATTGATTATAGCATGTCATTGTTGAGCCCCCAGTCAGTGATAACTGTGTGTGTGTGGGCGAGGGGCAGGTTCCTAAATCTGACCACATTGCAGCCCTTGATCGCCGGGGCCGATTTTGTGAAGTCCTGTTGCCTGTGTCCTGCTTCCAGTGATCTTGATTTAATTGATGGGCTGTGAGCTGGGAGTTGGAAGTTTAAATTAAAAAAAAATCTCCAGGTGGTTTAATAAGCAGACAAATTTGGGAATCTTTGAACAAGGGAATTGAAAGGCATACGTTACTAAGTACCTATCTTTTGTTCATCAGTTTTTGTTTTTAATCCTCACCAGAGGATATGTTTAGAGAGAGGGAGGGAGAGAAACATGTGAGAGAGAAAAACATCAATGGGCTGCCTCCCGTATGCGCCCTGACTGGGGATCTAATCCGAAACCTAGGCATGTGCCTTGACTGGAAATCAAACCTGAAACCTTTTAGTGCATGGGATGATGCTCCAACCAACCGAGCCACCTGGCCAGAGCTGTTATTTTTATGGTATCTCCATCATTGTCCTAAAGATGTCTTTTCCTTACAGATTGCACCTAGGAATCACTGTTGGTAGGTGTAGCATGGTCCATAGTCTGCAGGGCACATGGTGCTCCTTTCATCTCACAGCACTGGTTTAGATTCTTGCCATCAGGAGTTTATGTACAGAATGTGGTTTCAAATTTGTGTGTGTGTGATACAGTGGTGCTCTTGGCAGGCCCCTTTATTTTTTTATTTTTTCCATCCACAGAACATCACTGGATTGGAGATGCTGGCTAAATAGTGTCAGTTTCAGAAATGGTCTTTTTGGTTTTCTGTAAATTGTTGGTGAATTGAAATTTTCTATGTGGCACTTTTTTTTTCCTGTTGCTTTTGGTTCAAGTCCTAGTCTGAGTAATATTCAGTGGTGTTGGGGGCAAGTTCCTCAGCCAGGGACTTGACCCCTCTGGGTGTAGGAAATTGGAACAATACACGGGTGACAGTAGGTAAGTGGGACATGTGTTATTATGAACGAAGTAGCCCCAAACTGGCTCATCAGTGGCAACTTATATACATGCTCAAACAGAAGAGGCCTCCTGCCAATTAGTGCAGCTCGTGCTACATTAACATAAGCAGGGTATGTAAGGTTGCGCTTGCGCAGTAGTATGTTGCTCCTGCTGAGTCATTGCCCTCGTGCATGTGTAGGGCAAAGGGGCCTTTAACATAGTAATACTGCTTGCTGTGTCCTTGGCTGCTTGCACGCGTATGGTGAGTAGGCCTTGAACCTCCATTGGATTCTGGTCAGGGCCCGGCAAGTGGCTGTAGCCTTTTTTTGAGAAGGTATTCTGCAGGGGTGAGTTGTAGGGGATGGAGGGGACTGAAGGTCGAAAGAGGAGACAAAAAGACCTGATTATGACAAGGTACCCCCTTTAGAAGGGAATGTAGAAAAACCATAGCAGTGGTTTTTTTGGTTTGCTTGTTTTTTTAAGAGCTACAAGAGGCTGTAGATATCAGGTAGCCCACCCCCGAGTCTTTGTTATAACTTGCCTAGAGCCTCATTTGGAACCTTATTTTGCCATCATTTCCAATTGGCAAGGGCTTTCTTGGGTGTCACCCAGGAGACGTTGGGCTTACATTTCTAAAGGACTTGGTCTATCATAAAAGTAGCAATATGGTCTGACCAGGTGGAGGTGGTTACCCATGAAAATCTGGAACTTTTAGCAGTCTTTCTCCCTTCTCCCAGCCGGGGTGGGAGGGTGGATTGTGTAGCAGGTGGAGGAGCTGTTCCCGTTGTATTTTAATGAGTGGGCTAAAGGAGTGAGTGTCTCCTTAGGAACCACCAATGGAAACAGGGACCTGTGTTGACTATATAAAACTGCTTTCATGGGTCTTTCTCTTCGGGGGACAGGTGCTTCCATTGATGTGCGTTAGTTACCAGCCTGAGGAGTGTTGACAACAATAAAGCTTCACTATCAAACTCCTTTCCTGTGTGTTTCAGACTTTAATGTGACATGTTCAGATGTCTTTCAAAAGATGAATTTGTCTTTCATTTATTTTCTGTGCCTTATCTTTTGTGAAAGTGATGAACATGCTTTGGTTCGCGATACATGGCAGGCGGTAAAGCCTCTGCAGCTAGATCAGTGCATGGTGATAGGAGTAGCTGTTGGAGATTTTGATTTCCAGTTTTAATTGTTTCCTTGATGTAAAGTGGGTTGATGTAGTAAAAAGTATCCATGGTTATTTTGGATAAACAGCAATAAAATATCACGAGATATTTTATTTTGTTAAGGTTTATGTTTGTAATTTTAACCTGTCTATACTGATTCTTTTATGTTTGTATAGGGATATTTTATCCCTTTCTAGAAAGCTTACTAAAAATGTCAAGTGATTTGTTAGTACAAAATGGTAAATACTAGGTTATCTATGAGGCTCCTTTGGGGCAGGTATCATGTCTTCTGCATTTTCATAAGGCCAGGGTCGGGCATATAATATGGGTTTGGTAAATTCTGCAAAAGTGAGGAGAGTAGGGAA